AGTTCAGGGTCATTACATATAAATTAAAGGCAAGAATTACCAAGATAATAGGCTTACAATGCATAAAAGACTTTCTTGAAGTTATCATTTCTGTCCCAGCTTCCAAGGAAGTTCATAGATTATCTAATAAAAATGACCCATGAGCCGGGCGGTGGTGGCGCACGCCTTTAATCCCAGCACTCGGGAGGCAGAGGCAGGCGGATCTCTGTGAGTTCGAGACCAGCCTGGTCTACAAGAGCTAGTTCCAGGACAGGCTCCAAAACCACAGAGAAACCCTGTCTCGAAAAACAAAAAAAAAAAAAAAACAAACAAAAAACAAAAAAAAAAAAAAAGACCCATGAGCATATAGTCTAGTTTAAGGATAAGCCGGGTGGTGGTGGCGCACGCCTTTAATCTCAGCACTCTGAAGGCAGAGGCAAGTGGATCTCTGTAGGTGGAGACTGCTTTTTTGTTTTCCGACTGCTCAGACCCTAATAATCACACAAACTATATTAATTAAAACACTGCTTGGCCTATTAGCTCCAACTTCTTATTAACTAACTCTTACATCTTAAATTAACCTATTTTTATTTTATATTTTACCACAAGGCTTGTAGTTTACTGGTAAGGTTTCGGGGTGTCTGTCTCTTTGGGCAGCTATATGGCGTCTCCCTGACTCCGCCTTCTCTCTTTACATCTCTCTTTACAAACAAACAGCCTCTCATCTTTGTGATTCTAGGCCAGCCTGGGCTACAAGAGCTAGTCCCAGGACAGGCTCCAAAGCTACAGAGAAACCCTGTCTCGAAAAAACAAAACAAAACAAAACAAAACAAAAAAACAAAAAAAAAACAAAAACAAGAGGGCAAAGGAAATTGCTTGAGTTTTTGTCTTACCTTTATAGTGGTTAGCAGTTCTTGCAGCTGTTAGTGATCTTCATTGTGTCTAATTTAAGTGTGTCCTCTTGCAGCAGGGAACACAGTTACTGAAGTAAAGAGGCTGTTGAATGTTGTCTTGGTAATGGGGTACTGCCATATTATGGGGGACTTTTCAGAGAGAGAGACCTTCTGTTCTGTCAGTCAGATGTGAAGCTCCTGGTTGAGTGGAAGCTATAACAGCCTTTTTCATATTGTTTCAAGTCTGAGAGGCCACTTGCCCTACTTGGTTGTGACCGAGAAGCTTCAAAAAAAAATAGTCTTTTGGTTGGATGTGGTAAATCTACCTACTTCTGTAATTCCACCGCATGGGAGGCAGAAGAATTGCCAAGTTTAAGGCCAGTGTGGTCTGCCTGCCTCTTGAGTGCTGGAATCAAAGGCGTGCGTGACCAAAGTGCCAATCTTTAACTTCTTCGGATATTATAATCACCCTTATAAAGGTGATTAGAAAAATTACAATTTAGAATGGACATTTCCCAGCCAGTAGGGTCCCAACTGCATAGGTTCCAGTGAGTTGTTGGAACAAGTGACATCTTGTAGACATCTATTGTAGTGTTCCCATACACAGAATTCTTTATCTTGTTGGCTACCTGTTTTTCTAGTTAATAGTTGCTTCCTCCTTAGGAGCACGGACATTTGTAGTTTCAGGTTAAGACAGAAGCCTTAGCACTCTTTTTAAAGACAGGGTTTCTCTGTGTACCCCTTGTTTATTCAGGAACTCTCTCTGTAGACCAGGCTCACCTCGAACTCACAGAGATCCACCTGCCTCTGCCTCCCAAGTGCTGGGGTTAAAGCTGTGTGGACTTTTATTTCTAAAATGTTTATTTTATATCACGGGTATTTTGTCTACGTGTTTGTCTGTGTACCACTTACGTGCCTGGTGTATGTGGAGGCTTTTAAGAGGGCATCAGAGACCTTGGAACCTGAGTACAGACAGGTGTGAACTGCTGTTCAAGTGCTAAGAATCCAATCTTGGTCCTATGGAAGAGAGCCAGTGCTCTTAACCCCTGAGCTATCTCTCTAGCCCTGGAATGATAGGATTTAAAAAGAAAAATTTTAAGTTTTTTTTTTATTCCTTTTCTGTTTACATTTTGTTTATGGATTATGTGCCATATCATGAATGTAGAGTTCAGAGGACAATTAACAAGAGTCAGTTCTTGTCAGGGCACTGGTGGTGCACACCTTTAATATTAGCACTGGGGGGCGGGGCAGAGGCAGGCAGATCTCTTTGAGTTTGGGGACAGTCAGGGCTACATAGAGAAACTCTGTCTTGGGGGGAAAAGTTCTTCTACCATGTGGAGTTTGGAGGTCGAATTCAGATGAAGAGGTTTGTTAGTAAGTCCCTTTACCTACTGAGCCATTCTGCCACCCCTGTTTTTCTTATTTTATGTATATAAGTTGTTTTGTCTACATGTATGTATGTACTGTGTGTGGGCTTGGTGACCGTGGAGAAGGCGCTGAATCTGCTGGTGCTGGAGTTAAGGATGGTTATGAGCCCAAGTGAGTGTGGAGAAGCAGAACTGGTCCTCTGCAAGAGCAGCCAGCCTTTTAACCTCTGAGCCAGCACACTAACCCGAGAACAACTGAATTCTAAGGCAGTTGATGTTCAGGGTGATTCCAGGCTGGAGAGCATCAAATTCTAAGCTTTGGAGCCCTCAGCCCTCAGTCCTCTGGCCTCTCTTGCTTGCCCTTTATTTCCCTTTCTTCTTGGCCTCAGCTTTGGGCACAGGTCTTCTGTAACATGCTTGCTGTGTGACTCCCTCAGGTGAGACAGTGTCGCTTGTGGATGTGGACATTTCTCAGCGGGGCCTGACCTCTCCACACCCTCCAACTCCCCCTCCTCCTCCAAGAAGAAGCCTCAGCCTCCTAGGTATAGTCTCTGACCTGCCCTTTTGCTATCTTGCCCTAGAGGGAGGGTGAACTCTAGGGACTTGTTCTTTTGTCAGGAGCCAGATTAGTTTCTGGGTTTCTATTGATGACCCAATTATTTCCTGTCCCTTTCTCCACACCTCCGTCATATCCTTAGACATGTAAATGGGTGGGCATCTTATCTGCATGCAGTAATATTTACTGTCCATGTGTTGACTAGCTTCACATTTGCCTTGCCCTCAGTCTGTTGCTACTGAGCTGTTTTCTAAGCAAAGCAAGGCTGGCTAGGATGATTTGCCCATGGTGCATAAAGATGATGAGTGAAGGCCAGGCTACTTTGCCCCAGAGGGCAGCCTGAAATCCTCTCCTCCTCTGCCTTCACCTCACTGTATGTGCTCATTTTTGCTGAACCTCTTGCTTTTGTTCTCTCTTCTAGATGATATCAGTGGGACGCTGCCTACATCTGTCCTTGTGGCTCCGATGGGGTCTTCCTTGCAGTCTTTCCCCCTACCTCCGCCTCCTCCACCCCACGCCCCAGGTTAGCTTAGCTTAGAGGCAAGACTTGTAAGAGTGGAAGGATGGGAGAAGTCTATTTATGGAACTTACAACTTAGGAGAAAGCCTCAATCTTTATCCCCTCAGCTGGACTAGAACTTGAAAATGAGTCCAAAAAATAATTTTTTTCTAACCTGTTTCTTTATGGAAGTTAATCTTATTTTTCTTAAAAATAAAAGACTGGGATTTTTGGTCCTTGCTTCTGGGGCTGTTTTACAGTCTCTGAGTAGATATCACTTAAGAAACTGCCTTAATGTCAGTTCAGTGAACAGGTTGAATATGTTGCTGGTTATCAGAGTTCTGTGTTTTTTTTTTTCTAAGCTTTTTGGTATTTACCGCAGCCTTGTAAATAAGTACCAAGCATTTAGTAGCCCATACCTGCTTTGCCAGCCTCCGGTACCCAAGGAATAAAATGAATGAAATCAGCATTCTTTTCTACTTGCCTGGCAAAATCGTTACTCTCCCTGGGCAAGTAAGCGAGTCACTATTTCCAAGGCTGCTTTACCGGCACTTCACTTCGAGGTGGGAGAAGTTGGAATCGCTCTAGGCTGGTGAAGCCCCTGAAGTAGTCACCTTAGTCAGGTTAGTGAGCGGCTCCCCTACTGCTTTCCTGGGGTTGAATGCCCCCACCCATCCTTCACAGCTTACACACGAGCCCACACAGCTTTTTGTTCCAGCCCATCCAGCTCTTTCCCACTGCTTTGGCTTCCACCCTCTCCAGCTTAGCTTCTAATGCCTTGTCCTTCTTCAGTTAGCATCTCTCTCTCTCTCTCTTTTTTTTTTTTTTTGGATGGGGAAAGGGGAAAGTCTGTCTGTGGGTGGGAGCAGTGTAGATAAAACAAGTGGTCTCCATTCTCTTGCCCTGCAGATGCATTTCCCCGGATTGCTCCCATCAGAGCATCAGAATCCCTGCACAGCCAGCCCCCTCAGCACCTCCAGTGTCCCCTCTACCGGCCTGACTCAAGCAGCTTTGCAGCCAGCCTTCGAGAGCTGGAGAAGGTAGGTAGTGTGATGCCGGAAGGCTGGCTGCTCACCTGTCCTCCCCACTCTAGGGTTATGCCTGGGCTGTCCTTCCTGTTTTTAGAGGAAGAGGAGTTTTCTGTGCTTCCATATTCACAGTGGCTAGACAGTAGGCTCTTGTTCACGCCTTAGGAGAGGAAGAAGACACAGTGGAGGAGGACTGTAGAGAATATTTGGAATAGTTTAAGATGGTTTTGCGAGGTAAACTGACCCAGTTTCCTCTTGCCCTCATAGGGTCATTTGTAATAAAATGTAGAATTAGTCTTCTGGTGCTGGGGAGGAAGGAGCCTGGTTTTCACTGTTAATGGCTTTACCTTCTCAGATATTTTGGAGAGTGGGGGAAAGTAGATTGTGCCCAAGATATTGGCGCTTCTCTGCTAACTACTGTACTGTTTCTTATCTTGTATAGTGTGGTTGGTATTGGGGGCCTATGAATTGGGAAGATGCAGAGATGAAGCTGAAAGGGAAGCCAGATGGTTCTTTCCTGGTACGAGACAGCTCTGATCCTCGTTACATCCTGAGCCTCAGCTTTCGATCACAGGGTATCACCCATCACACTAGAATGGAGCACTATAGAGGTAGGAGGTGCTGCTATGGGAGAAAGCCTTCCTTCAGCTTTGCCTGCTTTTGCTGAGTTAGTTCCCTGACCTCCTTTTTAAGTTTTATTTCATTATTTTTGTTTTATGTGTGTGGGCCTGAGCATATGTATGTATGTGCACCACCTAAAGAGGGTATTAGGTCTCCTGGAGCTGGAATTATCAGCAGTTATGAGTGGCCTAATATGAAGGTGCTCTACATCCTACAGTATCATTTAGCCAAGATTAATTCTCTGCAATTCACTATGTAGACAGGCTTGCCTAGAAGTCAGAGATCTGCTACCCCTGCCTCCCGAGTGCCGGGATTAAAAGTGTGTACCACTGTGATCAGCCCAAGATTTAATTCTTTATGTAAAAAATAGTAGCCTAGGAGTGATGGTAGCTGGTCAAAGATCCATATTTTATATATATATATATATATACATGTACATATATACATACACATACACATATACATACACACACATATAGTGTTCTGCCTGCATGTAAGCCTGCTCACCAGAAGAGGGCACCAGATCTCATTACAGATGATTGTGAACCACCATGTGGTTGCTGGTAATTGAACTCAGGAAGAGATCTGAGCCATCTCTCCAGCCCCATTTTCTAAATAATCTTTTAAAAATAAAAGCTGGGCCAGGCACTGGTGGTGTATGCCTTTAATCCCAGCACTTGGGAGGCAAAGGCAGGCAGATCTCTGAGTTGCAGGCCAGCCTGGTCTACAGAGTAAGTTCCGGGACAGCCAGGACAAAGAAACGGTGTCTTGAAAAATAAAAACAAAAAAATAAAAATAAAAGTGAACATCTTTGTGATTTTCTTTTTTTTTTTTTTTTTTTTTT